TAATTATGTTTTGTAATTTAAAAACAATTACTTTATGATTTTAAATAATGCTTTTATTAAATGTTATTATAACGTTTTTATAATTATTATGAAATTTATAAATCATTAATATATATAAATTAGTAAATAAAACTATTAAATTATAAAATTATCCGGGTCCTCTGAAATACGTCGGAAATGCAAATCCTCGGAAATCCGTCGAACAAATGTCCTCGGAATCCGTCGGAAATATAGACCCTCGAAAATCCCTCRGAGATTTATACGCAYGGAAATCTGTCGGAAATTTAGGCCCTCGGAAATCTGTCGGAAATGTTATTCCCACGGAAATCCGTCGGAAATATATTCCCACGGAAATCCGTCGAAAATTTTATTCCCACGGAAATTCGTCGGAAATATATTCCCTCTGAAATCCGTCGAAAATTTATTCCCTCGGAAATCCGTCGATAATTTCAGAGGAATTTCCGTGGGATTTAAATTTCCGACCATCTCAAACCGACGATTATTTTCCCTCGGAAATCCGTCGGAAAGGGCCGTTTCTGAGGGCTTTCCCACGGATTTTGCCTTGGAAAATGGCATGTTTTCTTACACACACAAAAAAAAAAAAAATCAAAATTGACTAAGAACTTACAAGCTTATTAAAACAAACGCTAGCATTAAAACCCAACAACATATACATAAGTACATATCCTGATTTCACGTTCCTCAAGATTCTCTATGACCCAAGAACCGGAAGAAGCTCAAGAGGAACTTTCTTAACAACGGTGACATCACCAGATTCTTCCATGTCCATGTCTTTCTCTTCAGGTAATTTCCAATCAAAGAAGTAAAGCAAGTTCAAGAGTACCAATTCAACGGACGCAATCCCATAATCCATTCCTGGACACACCCTCCGACCAGAACCAAATGGTAACATCTCAAAATTTTGTCCTTTGTAGTCCACAGGATCAGCTATAAACCTCTCCGGGATAAACTCCTCTTGATTTTTCCAGCGGTTAGGGCTTCGTCCTATCTCCCATGCGTTAACCAAAAGAAGGGTTTTTGGGGGAATATCGTAGCCTTGAATCTTGATTTGACTCATTGTTTCTCTTGGGAGTAACAGAGGCGCTACTGGGTGTAGTCTTAAGGTTTCTTTCACCACAAGCTTCAAGTATTGAAGCTTATCAAGATCTTCTTCGGAGATTCTCTCTTTTTGTTTGATTCTAATGCCTGTTCGGATCTCGTCTTGAGCTTTCTTCATCACTCTCGGGTTTCTAGCGAGCTCTGCCATCGCCCAAATCATGGTGATGGCACTTGTGTCTACTCCAGCAAGAAATATATTCTAGGTAAACATAAAACGTTAGATGGTTATGTTTAGGTCATCTGTTATATACAAGAATCTTGAATTAAATATTTTTTTTTGCTTACTGAGATGACTCCATAGAGATGATCAATTGTGAGCTTGAAAGAATCATCTTGTTCTTGTTTTTGTATCATATCCAACATCACATCGACAATATCAGGACGATCTTGAGTTGTTTCTCCATGCTTATTCTTCAAGTGATCATCAACCACTTTCTTCACAAAAGTATCAACCTCGACGAAAATGTTATGAAGTCTCTTGTGTTCTCCTAACATAAAGTCTATAAACCAACCAATACCAGCAACAGGGAACATATCAGAATTTTAAAGACATATTTGTCACAGCTTCAAACATCAAATCTTGGATCTTTTCCTTATTGATATGCTTGCATTCGGAGAA